AAAAAAATAAAACGTAACTTCAATAACTATATTTTGAATTCTCTTTTTCACAGTGAGAAAAATAAGACTACTACATGCAATTAATTCCACTTCAAACATATAAGTACAAACACTCACCTTATAATTTTTTCAACGAAACAAGGTGTTGCAGAGATAATAACAAATTCAAAAATTTTTTCAGAGAAATCTATTTGACCAGGTAATCCAAAATATTGCTAGATGACTTCCTATTGTTTGGCAGTAAGCTATTGTTACCAATCAATCTAAAGAAAAACTTTCAAATTCTTATTTTTAATGAATATATATGAAATGTTCCTTCACTGGGTAGTGTTCCTTCACTGGTTGGTTTACCCTAGTATTTGATTGTAAGAATGAATGGTTATCCCTGTGAAGTTAAGAATAGATGGCGGGAGCAGTTAAATTTGCTAGTAAGACTTCCGGGTTACCGTTTACGCTTTATTTTTAAGTCGAATTTTAAATAATTGAATATTTTGCATTGTACTATTACTATTTACAATACGATTTGTTCTTTTTACCATTCAGTTTTTAAATTCATTTACTTTTAGGTAAAGACATCAAAAATGCGGATGACAGAGCAAAGATTATTAAGACACGGCAAACTTTATTTATGTCGTGAATTAATTTCCTTAATATAATTTACGGTTGACGACATTTTTTACAAAATAAAAAGGAAGAAAATTTTTGTGAATAGTTAAATAACGTGTAAATTTAAATACAGTCTCAATACTAAAAATTTCTAAAATATCAAGTCTGCTCACATATCATCTCATAAACATAACTTAAAGGGATGAATACACCTGAAGTTTTTCAAAACTCCGTTTTGGTTTTAGATTGTTGCTCTTGTTTGCATCTAATTAACCTTTCATAAATTGCAGTTCGGTAGATTATATAAATTACATGAATGTGTTTGCAGAGATTTGACAAGAATTCAAGATGGCATAGGAGAAAAAGCTGGAATATGCCTCAGCTTTTTGTCTATTACCTTTCTAAGCTTGGGTGTTGGATTGTATTACGGATGGAAGCTTGCTTTAGCGATTCTTGCAATAACTCCAGTAAATGCGATTGCTATGGCTATTGTGGCTAAGGTAAGAACTACTCTATCTCTTAAAGAGACTACCCAAAATTCATACAAGATTTAAATTTTTTGACAATAGTACAATAAGATGTTTCCTACGGAAAGATTAAGACAGTGGAAAATGATGACAGCTTAGGTTGGTAAAAAGGGAGCATTACTCGAAAAGAAATCGAGTTTTCATTGCTGTGTATTATTTTGATCATTTATGAGTAATTCCATGGCATAGCAATTCTCGGTTTTGGGAATCTTCCGATACCTCGCTTAAACACCGAAAGATTCTTTAAAAAAAAGTCTCGAATTTATTGAGACAAACCCAATAACCTGTCTACCCCACAACTAGAAAAAAAATTGATCTCTATATCAATGAAATTACTCCACAGTTATTAAAAATGAAAGAAAGAAGAAAATTACTAGTAAAGCAAGGATCTAAAATTGAGTGGAAGATATCCTTATATGTTATTACATTTAACTGTTTATTAGAAGTTAGGTTGTTGTTGTTGCTTATCCTCATAGATCTGACATTAGTCAGACCAACTCCAAAAAGTTGTTGACAGGCAGAAAGTCTATGACAAGAAGCGGATCGGAAGTTAAGTCCGCCCTAGATAGTCCGACATAATCAACTATATGTTTCGGTGAGGCTGGATGGACACAGCATTTCTTGCAAGTCGGGTAAATTTTCGTGCCACGTTCGAATGTTAGACATTTTAGGTGACCAGTTGAGAATCCGGCCGAGGCAGCCTGGGAGCTTCGATCGCAATAAGAAGTTAGGTGATCGATGGAATTGGAATTCGGCAAGTTATGCTTAAGTGTCACAGGAATTTTAAATTAGCAGTTCTCAAAGCATTTAATGCGACTCAAATTGCTTGAAAAAGATGACTTTTCACTTTATTGCATATTGCATTGAATAAAAGGGTAAACCATAAGTGAATCTTCATCGAAGTGAATTTTTCATATGAGATTATGAATATCATAAAATACTAATCTTGACAAGATTCACCGTTATGCTTGAAGGTACCGTCTTGGTTTCGAGAAATATGATTTAAATTCAAATATTTGAAACACAGAGACTTAACCTTTATTCCACAAAGAAATTTAACCTGATACACAAGTACCTATACACATCGGCGAACAACTTGAAAAGGAATATAGAAATCACAAATTTCACAACTGCAATCTGATTTAAACATTTTTGCAATAATTTATCAAAATTTTAGAGGAAGGGAAAATAATTTAAATTGAACAAATACTTTTTTTTTCCCCAATGGCAGGCACTGAATTTAAATCTTTGCCTATACTATGCCAGAATTGTTGCTCATTTCGCGTTACCCAGTGGGCACCTGTGAACCAAAGTCACGGAGGCGAGCAACATTGCCCACGCCACACTGCCACAAACCCGTTTATAGGGTGGGCCACATTCACACATCATTTACACACACAACAGAGGACAGCACAAAGAGAGAGAGAAACATCCATGCCCAGAGCGGGATTCGAACCCGCAGCCTATGGCTTCGCAGTCAGGCACGCTAACCGCTCGGCCACCAGGCCGGCATGAACAAATCTAATTGTAGGTGAAATAATTTAAATCGGAGAACGCCAGAAAGTTGATCATGAACTATTGACAGCTCGTGGGTACTAGCAGAATAATTTAAGTTTATGAAAGAATAAAAGAAAATGAAAGAACTTTTAAAATGCGGTATGTGAACTAAGAAACTTTATAAGTATTGTAATCACTAATCTGAATCATATCAGAATTACAAAATAGAACGAGATAAGTTATTCAACTCTCACCATTTAAATAAATAGGATAAATGTATGATTTACTTAGGAATTCAGACTTATCGGCATGTGAATTGCGAGTGTTTGCTGCTTTGTCAGCTTCTTCTGCCGTATTTCTGCTCCTTGCAGTAGATGTTCAAATGTCTGGATGTGGCGGAGAATATCAGGACCTAAGAGGTCCCGACAACAAGACGCAGAGGATATCAGGAGTATTAGGAGCTAATAAAAACAATAACTGTAGTGCTTAAGATATACGCATTGTATTAGATTTTTCCTCTATACAACATCATTGATTCTTATATGTAATTACTTATTTCTCATTATGACCATCGTGTGGGGGAGCAGTCAATTCAAAGTTCAAGAGATGACAGTTTCAAACCACGTTTAAAAGAACGGTTTCAAATTGTTTTAAATAGGAAAAGGAACTAAAGAAATAACGGGTATTTCTTAATTGTGTAAATCTTATGGATCTTACACAGCAATATAAAATATACTGTAACGAAAAGCATCCAAAACAGCGGCAGCCGCATGAATAATTCGAAAAAGATCTGCCTGAAATTTAAAAAAAAAGGCTTAGTAATAACTTTTTTTTTGATGTCCATAAAACAATGTAATCACAAATAAAATACTCTGTGTGGATTTTTTACCTACATAAATAACTTGTCTAACTTATCACGAACGAAAGGAAACGGCAAAAGAGACGTTAACCGGTTTAGATATTTTGACAACAATTCTAATTTTTGACTATTTTTTTACGTTATTAAAATACTATGTTTAAAGAATTCAAATAAGTAAGAATAATAGATAAAGTTGCGTTTTATTTTCGTTTATAGACATTTTTCTAAACATTAATTTCAGTTTCTGATTTTCGTTCGAAACATTGTGGAATTCAAAAGTGGTGGTAGTTTTAAAATTGTATAGGTCTTGTTAAAACACTTTTATGCAATTAAAAAGAAAACAAAAAATATATTTAAAAAAATAGAATACGCTTATTTCCACCAAAAACATTTTAAGAATTAAAATGCAAAAATACTTTCACTTATGTTGTGAAATACTCATTTATCGTAATGTTATGATAATAGTTTGTGAAATATCGCCAATATAATCTCTTTTCACTAAAATATTGCATTTAATACTATGAATTTTTTAAATCTAACTTCATCTACGTAATTAGTGCTACCATCCAAAACTCTTAGAATTACATAATATATAGTCATCCAAACGCTTAGATGTTTGATCAGTTTTTCTTCGATTGCGACCACTGTGAGGCATTGCTTATGATTATTTAATTTGGCGAGATTTTAAAATTGTTATCTCCTCTTATTTATTTTAGATACAATCAAGCGCATCTCAAGAAGAAATGAAAGCTTATGGATCAGCAGGTGCGGTAGCAGAAGAAGCATTATCGTCTATCCGCACTGTCTCTGCGTTTGGAGGGGAAATCAAAGAAATTCAAAGGTTATTTTTATTAAACGTAAATTTATACATTTAGTGATTCAAATGTTATTTTCAAAATTTTGGTTCGAAAAAATTTTTGCAATTTTTTTTTTCTTATTTCATGTTAAAGTTAAAACTCTGAAGCAAATATTTAATACTAGGAGGCTTCGCCCCCTGCTCGCTGGCGCTCACCAACCCCCGGAACTGCTTTCACAGTTCATTTCGGATTGCTTCGCAATCCAATGCTCGCTTTGCTCGCTCATTGGATACGTTCTTAACGTCTAGTTTTTGTATACTTTTTTGAATACTGAAGTTCCGAAAACTTTTCACTGTAGAAAATTCTAAACCTGTACATTTCAATATTAATTTGAAATTGCAAACAGTTCACATATTTTTCTTAATCACACTATTCTAAATTTCAGTTGTTGAGAAAAGTAACTGTTGTAAGTTTTGTTTTAAAGTCTTTTCCACCAGAGGGCTAAAGTCATTTGTTGTAAAACAATATGAAATAGTAGTCTGCCACTGAACGCTGCATGTAAAGCATCGGCTTTGATGAAGATAATTTTGTATTTTTAATTCTCTGAAGGGCGCCACCTTAATAATATGGAACTTGCAAAATAAATGTATATATTTTTGATTGTTGATGAAGCCCAACATTTTGTGTTTTCATCAATGTTCAGAAGCAGAACAACTATAAGTTTTTTATTCTATCACAAAAAAATAAAATGTATAGAAAACAAAGAAAATAGTAAGAAAATGAGTATAGTCATAGAAAAAGTTAAAATTATATTTGTCAGTTAAAATAAAACTTTTTGTTTAAGTCATTGCTAACAATTCAAATTTCGCCAAATTTTTTCAAAATAAGTAAATCAATTTAAATATTTAATTTTTATCTTTTATATTGAAAAAGAAATATAGTTTGGTTTGCTTTAACTCATCAGTAATAAAAGATCTATAATAAAAATATATAATAAATTGCATAATAAATGAATAATAAAATGTATAATAAAATATATACAGTCAAAGCTCAAGTACCTTTTTGATCTCAGAGTAGTAGCAAATAATAAGAAATGCTAACTCGGTTTAATTATACATTTGCTATCATTTTCTGTAAAAGTCAACTCTGTAGCGTATCTACCACTGCAAAATTACAACTACAATTCACTAGTATATAAAACATGTTAACTCGACTCTATGTAGGTGTACCTATCATTGATGAAGGTTGACATTGCTCTCCCCACATTGGTGACCTTCGGACATGATGTGAACACGCCTACCTTGGCAGTAACGCCCACTTCGATGTGAATACGCCTACATTGACAGTAACGCCCATTTCTATCTGGAAACGCCTACTTCGATGGATGAACCACATTGAACTAGAGCCCCTGAATTAGACACGCCGACTTATCATTTATTGTTGGAGCAAAGAGCTAACATAAGCACAGCGAATAAATATTTTCAAGTGGTAGTTTATTAATTGTAATTCTTGGTTTAATAAGTTCAATTTAATAGATTTTAATCCACCACTATTTCTAAACAATGCGTAGGCTTAAATAATTCACCACTTTATAATACTTATGACATGCTTTACATTTTTAAAAAGCAAGCAAATATTGTCAACTATTTGCAAAATTTACTTTATAGTTATTTACCGTTTTTTTAAATTATGTTGGCGAGTCCGCTGCAGTTGGCATCTCTGTAATAACATAACGAATACTAAAATAACGTTAACTTGCGAACTTGTTTGCTCCAATATTGCTTGATAGGTCAGCTCTGATAGTATAGGAGCCTTACATTAAACAGTTGCCTAGTGACTGCGACATTATCCACCTCCTCGCACTGTTGCTACTCAGTCTCGTCTCGATCACGCACAACGTCGGCTTGCATACACTCGACTGCTAACGCATACCTGCCAACTTTTAATCCTTTCCATTATCATTTTTCCCAGTGGTATTAAAATGGAATTAAAACTTCAATTTTAAGCAAACAAATACGTTGTATTTGAGAAACCTTAAGTTGACAACCATGACAGTAACGCATATTAATATATGTACCTAATTTTTGTAAGAATAGTGGTGATCAAAATCATTTGAAAATTAAGTTTATAAAAGAAAAAATGGTATATATTAAATACCACTTCAAATATAAAAATAAAATCTTCCGGAAAATCCGGAAGAGTTGGCAGGTATGGTAACGGCAACACATGAGCGACTACGACCGTGAAGTTTATTCACCTCTAACATTTAGCACTCAAAAAGTACGGTGATTTTAATACAGCTCTCCCGGCTTCTCATTAAACAGCAATGAATCAACTAGTGGTATCCATGTATCGAATTCTATCACGGATATAATTCTGGTGGGGGAGTACTGTAGCGTATCTACCACTGCAAAATTACAACTACAATTTACTAGTATATAAGGCATGTTAACTCGACTCTATGTTGGGGTACCTTTTCATAGATGACGGTTGACATAGTTTGTACCATCGCCCCACAACTCATTATATATAATCATTATGGAATTTTATACATTATACGCAATATATTATGTCTTAATGGGCTTAAAAAATAATGAAATAACTATAATTTAGGCAAAACCATTGTTATCATTTTTCAACTTTTACTTTATTACAATCATTTGTTCATTTTTTTAATGACGAAAAAATGTGTATTATTTTTACTTATCATAAGCATATTCAATTATACACGCTTAAATATCCTCAAACTATTTGATCTACTGTATTAGTTTAACAATGAGGTCATTTTTTTAACAAACATAAGCACATAATTTTTTTTTATTAATTTAAGATATTTATCGCATTTATTATTCCCAATGNGATATGGCTGGAATGATGCCGACTGGGGACGTATAGTCGTTAGCGACGAATCCCGCTTTCAACTGTGTACTGACGATCATCGAATGCGTGTTTGGAGACGCACAGGGCAGAGGGGGGATCCTGCCTTCACTACTGCACGCCACACCGGCCCTCAACAAGGCATTATGGTTTGGGGCTCCATTTCCTTTGACAGCCGGACCCCTTTGGTCGTCATTAGAGGTACACTTACAGCAAAGCTGTACGTCCACTACATCCTAAGACCTGTTTTGCTACCGTTCTTTTTGCAGCGCCCTGGACTGGTTTTTTAGCAGGACAATGCCAGACCACATACGGAACGTGTTGCTATGAACTGTCTGCAAGCTTGTCAAACTCTTCTTTGGCCAGCCAGATCACCAGATCTCTCTCCAATCGAGCATGTCTGGGATATAATGGGACGGCGATTGCATCTGGCATGGAATGTTGATGACCTCGTTCGACAATTGGATCGAATTTGGCAGGAAATACCGCAAGAGACCATCCGGGAGCTTTATCGGTCTATGCCACGCCGTGTGGCCGCTTGCATCCAGGCTAGAGGCGGGTCAACACCTTATTGAACTTGTTACTGTAACTCTGCAATAAATTATTCAATTGTTTTGAAATTTTAATCATTCACTATTCTTTACATTGTCTTCCTATCCACCAATTTTCATTTCAATTGGACAACTGCTTCTTGGTGCGTCGATTTTTTTGTTATAAAGTGAATATAGTCATCCAAACGCTTAGATGTTTGGCCGGTTTTTCTTCGATTGCGACCACTGTGAGGCATTGCTTATGATTATTTAATTTGGAGATATTTTAAAATTGTTATCACCTCTTATTTATTTTAGATACAGTCAAGCGCATCTCAAGAAGAAATGAAAGCTTATGGATCAGCAGGTGCGGTAGCAGAAGAAGCATTCTCGTCTATCCGCACTGTCTCCGCTTTTGGAGGGGAAATCAAAGAAATTCAAAGGTTATTTTTAGTAATCGTAAATTTATGCATTTAATGTTTCAAGTGTTATTTTCAAAATTTTGGTTCGACGAAATGTTTGCAATATTTTTTTTCTTATTTTATGTTAAATTTAAAACTCTGAAACAAATACTTAATACTATTCAAAATTAACAATATCCAGCTTTTATTAAAAAAATCTAAATAAAACCTGCTTGATACATTTCTGCCTAACCGTTCTTTTAAAATAGCAATTTTTTTTCAAAATAAGTAAATAAATTTAAATATTTAATTTTTAGCTTTTATATTTAAAAAGAAATATAGTTCGGTTTGCTATAACTCATCAGTAATAAAATATCTATTATAAAAATATATAATAAATTGCATTATAAATGAATTAGAAAATGTATAATAAAATATATACAGTCAAAGATCAAGTATCTTTTTGATCTGAGGGTAGTAGCAAATAATAAGAAATGTTAACTTGGTTTAAGCATACATTTGCTATCATTTTCTCTAAAAGTCAACTCTGTAGCGTATATCCACCACTGCAAAATTGCAACTACAATTCACTAGTATATAAGACATGTTAACTCGACTCTATGTAGGGGTCCTTTCATAGATGAAGGTTGACATTGTCGATAACTGCACTCCCCGCATTGGTCACCTTCGGACGTGATATGAACGCGCCTACCTTGACAGTAACGCCCATTTCGATCTGGAAACGCCTACTTCGATGGATGCGTTCCACATTGAACAGTTGACTTTTGACTGCGACATTATCCACCTCCTCGCACTGTTGCTACTCAGTCTCGTCTCGATCACGCACAACGTCGGCTTGCATTCACTCGACTGCTAGCGGCAACAGAGGAGTGACTACGATCGTGAAGTTAATACACCTCTCACATTCAGCACTCAAAAAGTACGGTGATCTTAATACAGCTCTCCCGGCTTCTCATAAAACAGCAATGAATCAACTAGTGGTATCCATGTATCGAATTCTATCACGGATATAATTCTGGTGGAGGAGTACTGTAGCGTATATCTACCACTGCAAAATTACAACTACAATTCACTAGTATATAAGACATGTTAACTCGACTCTATGTTGAGGTACCTTTTCATAGATGACGGTTGACGTAGTTTGTAACTACCATCGCAATATATTATGTCTTAATGGGCTTAAAAAATAATGAAATAACTATAATTTAGGCAAAACCATTGATATTCATTTTTCAACTTTTACTTTATTACAATCATTTGTTCATTTTTTTAATGACGAAAAAATGTGTATTATTTTTACTTATCATAAGCATATTCAATTATACACACTTAAATATCCTCAAACTATTTGATGTACTGTATTAGTTTAACAATGAGGTCATTTTTTTAACAAACACAAACATAAGCACATAATTTTTTTTATTAATTTAAGATATTTATCGCATTTATTATTCCCAATGATTTTTTCCATACAATTATGTTTGTATCCTTTCGAATGAACCATTTGATGGAATTAGGCAGCATTTTCTATCTGAATACTGATTAGCCCAAACAATGTATAATGACGAATTAAGTTGCTATAGCCTTACAATTTATTTGTTTAATCCAGGTATGAAAATCACTTAATTCCTGCAATGCAAAAAGGAATCAAAAGGGGGCTGTGGACTGCAATTGGATCAAGCATAAGTTGGTTTTCCATATTTGGAGGATACNTGCAAAATTACAACTACAATTCACTAGTATATAAGACATGTTAACTCGACTCTATGTTGAGGTACCTTTTCATAGATGACGGTTGACATAGTTTGTAACTACAATCGTAATATATTATGTCTTAATGGGCTTAAAAAATAATGAAATAACTATAATTTAGGCAAAACCATTGATATTCATTTTTCAACTTTTACTTTATTACAATCATTTGTTCAGTTTTTTAATGACGAAAAAATGAGTATTATTTTTACTTATCATAAGCATACTCAATTTTACACACTTAAATATCCTCAAACTATTTGATGTACTGTATTAGTTTAACAATGAGGTCATTTTTTAACAAACACAAACATAAGCACATAATTCTTTTTATTAATTTAAGATACTTATCGCATTTATTATTCCCAATGATTTTTTCCATACAATTATGTGTGTATTCTTTCGAATGAACCATTTGATGGAATTAGGCAGCATTTTCTATCTGAATACTGATTAGCTCAAACAATGTATAATGACGCATTAAGTTGCTATAGCCTTACAATTTATTTGTTTATTCCAGGTATGAAAATCACTTAATTCCTGCAATGCAAAAAGGAATCAAAAGGGGGCTGTGGACTGCAATTGGATCAAGCATAAGTTGGTTTTCCATATTTGGAGGATACGCTCTTGCCTTTTGGTATGGTGTTCAACTAATTATTGAAGGTTATGGTCAAGAAAATCCCGAATATGATGGAGGAGTTGTAATTACTGTTAAGTATTGTTAATCCTCTCTAATTTTGAAAAGGTGTTCAACTAATTATTGAAGGTTACGGTGAAGAAAACCCAGAATACGATGGAGGAATTGTAATTATTGTAGTCATAATTATCATATTTCATTTTATTTTTATTTTTTGTGGACGTTTTAGAACATTTTTTACACTTTTATGTAATTCCAAGTCTAGTTTGTATGCAACAAAACAAAATGTAACGTAAAGTAATGCAAAGCAAAAATGTTTTTGAAAAAATAGAGAGGAAAAAAAAGCACCTGAAATTTCAATTAATTTTGAAAAAAAAAATGACATTTTGGAAAAGGCTGCTCATGTTGAATTCACAAATAAGACAGGTTTTTTTTTCAATGCTTCAAATTACAGCTCTGCAGAACGACAGCGGCTCTTACTTTCTTTTAATATGAAGTGAAAATCTATTCATTGAAACAATTTCTTACAGATATTTTTTAGTGTCATGACAGCATCTATGTTCTTTGGTCAGACAGCGCCATATTTTGAAGCCTTTGCTCTAGCTAGAGGAGCTGCAGCTAAAATATTCGACATTATTGAAAGGGTATGATTCTATATAACTACTTCAGACAAGATAAAAATTTTGTGTTCAGTATTCAATAAGATATCGTCTTTAAAGTCTCTCTTAAAATTCACTTTATAAGTATTTTGATTTTAATTGTTTAATGAATCATACAGTATAGAATTATGTATTGAACAGTAAATAGGGGGAATACCTGCTATGATTTTGGCATTTACGTACGCTTTTGACGAGATTTACTGTCAAGATATGCAGTATAGAATTATGTATTGAATAGTAAATCGGGGGAATACCTGCTATGTTTTTGGCATTTACGTACGCTTTTGACGAGATTTACTGTCATGATATGCAGTATAGAATTATGTATTGAATAGTAAATCGGGGGAATACCTGCTATGCTTTTGGCATTTACGTACGCTTTTGACGAGATTTACTAACAAGATATACAGTATAGAATTATGTATTAAATAGTAAATCGGGGGAATACCTGCTACGATTTTGGTATTTACGTACGCTTTTGTCGAGATTTACTGTCAAGATATGCAGTATAGAATTATGTATTGAATAGTAAATCGGGGGAATACCTGCTCTAATTTTGGCATTTACGTACACTTTTGACGATATTTACTGTCAAGATATGCAGTATAGAATTATGTATTGAATAGTAAATCGGGGGAATACCTGCTATGCTTTTGGCATTTACGTACGCTTTTGACGAGATTTACTAACAAGATATACAGTATAGAATTATGTATTAAATAGTAAATCGGGGGAATACCTGCTACGATTTTGGTATTTACGTACGCTTTTGACGAGATTTACTGTGACTGATCATTGAAAAGAGTGAGTAAAGTGAGCATTGACACAACGTCCAATTTCTTCTTTCAAGGCACGGGTCATTGCAAGTTTGTTAGAATAATTCTATAAAACTTAAAAATAAAAATAATTAAACAGATAGCAATGTTAAAGTATTGATTTTTCTCTTCCCCTTTTTTTCTGTTGGCTACATCCTATTGCGAAAATGGCGCAAAATTTAAATCTTGCCAGAGTTTTGGGACATCCATTAAGAAGTAAAATCGTGAAATGTTTTAAAATTAAGTACATTAAATGATTAAAGATTGTTATCATTGCGCTGCTTCCTTCATTGGACCCCCTCCGATTATTTGTACTCTCTGTTCTCACTTAAGCATAGATAATAATGTGTAAAAAAACACCATCTCGCCGTGTATTTTTTCACGTTCACACCAATTTCTTGTATATAAAACGAACGAATTTTGAACATTTCTTCTAATTTTTCCCTGACAATACTTTATGGATATTATCATGAGTGAGACAGTAATAGTGTTTTTAATGTCGTTAATAATATTTAAAACTATGTTTAATCAGCTTTATTTGGCCATATTAAAAATAATTATTTACTACAAACTCACGAACATATTAGATACCGATTGCTATTTGCTACCCATTGTTTTACAGTTTGAAAATTGAAATTTTTTGTCGATCCAATCGAAATTCATGTTTATTTAAGGTCCCGCTGTAGACTGATCGTTAAAGCAGGGTTTCCACCAGATCACCGAAGTCAATCATCACTGACTGCGGTCAGTGTGCGGGTGGGTGATCACTTGGATTAGTCTGCGTAGGGACCGAGGGTGTGCGGTATTGGTCCTCGTTAAACTGTTCTACCGTAAAGTGCTCGACTTCGCGTGCATATCGTCGGGCTACCGAGGAGGCCCCCCTTTGCCATCCCCTTTGCAGAGGATCACCATTGTGATGACATGTCTTCGGATCATCCTCAGGGATGTTTCCCAGACCGTCGCCAATAGCCCATTGTGCAGCTCTAGTGCGACGTAAATGAACTACAACTGCATGTTTATTTAAAGAAAATGAATTCTTGGGGAAAGGTTTCTTTACATAAAATATTGTAAGCACAAACTACTAAGCTGTTTAAAGTCAAACATGAACCTTTAAGTTTTTATCTTAGCACCTAAAAATCCAATCCCTTGATTGAAAGATTTTAATTAAAGATTTTAAGATTTTTCTAATTATTTTTTCTTACACTGTTCGAAACATAGATTAAAGTAATAGATTTTAGTCTGAGAATTGAAAAGAAAGTATTGACCATATTAATAAAAACATATTTTTTTATGAAAAGAAATGATTCATAATCATTACACTGTTTAAAAGGTCATTCATATATGAATTAGTGATTTAAGACTTTTTTAAAAATCTAGATCGTCTTTTCATGTAGTTAAAGAACAACATAAAATAACGGGGAATCAGAAGTATAATTACATTTTAACTTTCAATTTATAATATGTTCTATAACTTAAATTAGACCTCTTTGGAATTCCTTTGAGAGAAATCTATTAGCCAACCTATTTTACATTGTTTCTTAATTTTCAGAATACTACTTTCTCTTTAAATAAAATAAGACATGACTTTTTTTTCCAGAAACCGATTATTGATAGCAGCTCCGAGGATGGTCTGAAACCAGATTACATGAATGGTGTTATTAGTCTTAACAATGTGACATTTAGCTATCCTGCAAGAAAAGATGTCACAGTATGTTCAGAAATTTAGTAAAATTTCTTAAAATGAGTAAAATATTCTTTTGCCCTTGCTAACTAGATTTTTGTGAACATTTTAAGGTATTAAAAGACATGACTCTGGAGGTTGCTTCTGGAGAGACTGTAGCGTTAGTAGGATGCAGTGGTTGCGGAAAGAGTACAATTATCCAACTCATATTGAGATTTTATGATACTGATTCTGGAAGTGTAAGTTTATCAAAAGAAAATACCCTTCCTGATTAGAATATTGAAATAAATATTTTTTAAATTAATGTTTCTACTTAAATAATATGATATAAATGTCCACGTATTGTTCATAAATTTATTGTTAAATATTTCTTAAAACTTTACAGTAAAATGAAAAATAAATAATTTTTTAGCTCTAATAAATTATAAACTAATTTCTTGTGACAATTTTTACATTTATTATTATACTAAGACGAGAAACTTTAGAAACTAGTTTAGTTCCAATTAGTTTTATTCCTAATTTCGTATAATTTCGAATTTTCGAATATTTTCTAAAATATTAAAACAATTTCTCTAGTAAATGTAAATTAAACTTTATGATGAGCGGCGCTTGCTTTCGAAAAGTTAAGCAAATGATATATTTTTTGTGAGAGAGCAAAGAAAATATTTTTCGACAATTATCTATCACGAGTAAAAAAAACTTCAATTAAGCTCTGAATTATCATATTTTTCGTCAGAATTTTTCTTTCAGAAACCAAATGAGATCTGACCGAGTAGTGAATGATTGAGATAGGAGGACGTGGTGTTCAGAGACACAGAGATACGTAACTCTGTATACACTTTGAAAAGTTCGGGATCAAGTTACGGTAAAAACTACTGGCACTCTGATTGACTCATCCATAAAAACTATTTCACCTTAAAATCCATTTCTTCCGTAACGTTTTATCCCGAAATTTTTATAGTAATATTTATTTACTTACAGCGAATCATTGATTTTACAGTAAATATTACTGCACACACACAGTATATCAAATTTTTTTGTGCCGTAAATTTTTACCGTAATTTAATTCAGAATTTTTCATAGTGTCACACGTGATTGTAGTGATACAGAGGATGAAATTTATATCTACAGAATGAAATTCAATATTAAATTATTATTATTATTGGTATTTCTCTTTTTTTATTCAATAAAAGAGTATAAGTACGTTATTAGTTTCACAAAAAATTATCGTAATTCATGTTTATTAAAGTAGCTAAATTGATCTAGCTATAATAAGATTTGTTTTTATAGGTTCATCTAGATGGTATTGATGTTAAAGATCTGAACGTTGGTTGGCTAAGAAATCATATAGGCCTCGTTGGGCAAGAACCTGTCTTGTTTTCGACGACAATAGCAGAAAATATTAAATATGGTAAATTAGACGCTACGCAAGAAGAAATTGAAATTGCTGCCAAAATTGCCAATGCTCACAGCTTCATTGATACTTTACCATTGGTATGTCAGATGATGTTTGCCAGCAACTATTTGATAATTATTTGTTAATTATTTGAATACGAATATACATAGGCATAAAATTTCTTGAAATATATGAAATCTTGCTATATTACTTAAATAATGGCTTATGTTCTATATTTAAACAGAAATACAATACTCTGGTTGGAGAACGCGGAACTCAGCTGAGTGGTGGTCAGAAACAAAGAATTGCTATTGCTCGTGCCATGATCAAAAATCCTAAAATACTATTACTGGATGAAGCCACTTCAGCATTGGATACTGAGAGTGAAGCTATAGTTCAAGCTGCTCTAGATCAGGTAGCGAAAAGATTATTATATCTTCTAAAAGTGGAAAATATTTAGAAAATCGTTAGATAAATCGTTAAAAAAAATATTTCGTCAAAAGAAATTAAGTTTAGATCAATCAATAGGTTTTTTTTCTAGTTTTTGATAATAAAAATTTAAAATATAGTAATCTAGTTATCTTTTTCCACCGAATTGACCTCATTGGAAAAATAAAGTTTTACTGCGGCATGGTACATTAAAAATAACTGATATATGATTTAATAGTTTTTTTTAAACATATTATAATTTATGAACACGAATGTTTCATTTTTATTTATTCATTTTGGAGCCAAATCTTTATCGTGAATTATCGCCTTATTTTTCCATTAAAATCTAAGAAAAATAATAAGTTTTTATAATAAGAACTAACTATTTTTAAGTACTAAACTAATTTTCATTTTTATTTCACGTCACATATTTTTCATTGTACGTTACAAAGTATACTTATCTACAGCATAAAAAACCGCGGAAAGTAACAGAAGTTATAAAAAACAAAAGAACAAATAATTATAGATAATTTCATTATTTTTGTTCAAAAATATACAATTTTAAAATAGTTACTCTAACTTTTTGATTGTGATATTCAGTTACTCCATGTAAGTTATAGACATGCATAACTATACTTTTTCAATCAACTTATAATAAATATTTTAATAACTTTTATACTGAAACATGTTAATTTTAGGCTCGTAAAGGTCGTACAACTATTATTGTCGCTCACAGACTTTCTACCATAAGAACTGCTGATAAAATTGCTGTTCTGGCTGATGGACACATAAAAGAAACTGGAACGCATGAAGAATTAATGAAGAGAAAAGGTCTTTATTATCGGTTGGTTGTTACACAGGTAAAATGAATTAAATAATTATATGATTCAGTTAATGCGTGCTATATTTTACTGTTTAATTCCTATTTAAAATATCTTTTTCAAGATTAATATAGAAGAGAAAGCTGAGGAAACGAATGATGAAATATCGCTTCTCGACGACAAAGTCAATAACTTAAGTTTTGCATTAGACAACAGCTTGGAAAGATGCCTGTCTTCTGCCAACATCACAAAACCTCAACCATCAAGTGGTGTTGATCGCCAATTATCTGTAGTCCGAACTTATAGTCATCAAATATCTGATCACAGTGTTGAAATGGTAAGCTCGAGGTATTAAAAGTCAGTTTTTAATACACTGTTTAAAACTAAAGTGGGAGAAAGTTTCTTTTAGTATCTATAAGCACACGAGGTACCTGGAAAATATTTGAATACTTAAAAAAAAAAGAGTTATTTTAAAAGACCATTTAATAAGCAAGTAAGAAATATTATTTTGGTGATAATGTTTCTAACCTATTGCGCAAATACGAGATTTTAAAAAATGCCTACGGAATTGTTTTAATTCATAATAATAACAAATTATTTCTTTGGAAAATATTAAACTTATTCCATTTACAAAATGTACTACAGTGTTTAAGATGTCAGAAACAAGTAATATAATGCTTATTAACGAAATAAAAAAAATTATATTTTAAAAAAGAAGATAATTTTTTCAGAAAAAGATTTTTGTAGTTTATTATTTTTGTATTTTTTATATTGTTATTCTTTTCACATTATTAAAATTCAGAAAGAACATGATGAACAAGTACCTCTAAATATGAACTACAAATTTGCTATCTAAACAATGCACTACAGTGAGATATGTGATTTTGTATAATTGTGAATTGCAATGCAAATGTAGAGTTTTATAATTTTTTCTTATATTGTTTTATATCATTATTCATTTGGAATGAATTATTAAATTTCCAACAGAACGAGATGAACAGGAAACCTTTAAATGAACTGGAAGATTGTTCTCTAAATAATGTATTAATTGCAGTGAAATATGAAAATTATAACAGTGAAATATATGATTTTGCTGTGTAATATATGATATTCTGGTGAAAAGTAGCTTATTAGAAATATAGGACATAGTTACTTTATTGAAATATAGTACATAATATTTGCTTTGCGAACAAAGGATTTTCAACGTTAATTTTTTTTTTTACTGCTTTGTATGGTTATTTATTTGGAATAAGTTTTTAAATTTCAAAAAATAAATTTAAATATAAATTGCGTAATTATTATCTAAACAATCAACTTCATCGCAATATAGGATATTTTAAGTATAGAATTGTTATAGATTGCAGTACAAGTATGACATGTTAGTTTATCTTTAAGTTTTCTGTATTGTTTTTCTGTGTTATTTATTTTGAATGAATTATAAGTTTCGCAAAGAACAGGATGAACAAGAACCTTTAAATGTGAACTACAAAATTTTTAAATAATGTGTTGCAGTGTTTAAAATATTGTGAGCAATATGCATTGCGGGGCTTGTTCACAAAATAGCAAAAGATGTTTACAAAAAGTAACTTTTAAATGTAAAGTTAAACATCTTGAACATTGCATTTTAATCATTTTGGTATCGCTTTGCAAAATTAGTTATTTTGATAAATTATATAATTTCAGAATAAACTGGATGAAGAGGAAGATGAGAATGCGTCACCCCCTAAATCTCGACTGCTTAAAATTTCAGCACATGAATGGCCTTATGCATTAATTGGAGGCATATCCGCACTATTCATGGGTTTACATATGCTCGCAGGCGGTATCATTTTAGGATCTATTTTAGGAGTAAGTATGAATTATAATTATTATTATAACTTCTTTGAATGATGTAAAAAAAAGCCCTGGATTACACTGATTTTGGAGGGAAAAAATATTCTGATTGCTCTTTTATAAAAACTAAAATAATAATTATCTTTACAATCTTCATAGCAAAAACTAAAATTCCTTATTAACGGCCATTTAAACATTTCGTACTGGGCCCGTGTCCATGAGTTCGTGGTTTCGAACCCCACCGGCCGAAAACTCCCCGTGTAGTAAAGTGACTGATGCACGTTAAATCTGTCGAGTCGCAAAAGTCCTCCATGTTCCCATAACAAATCAAAACCTCTGGGGGTACTGGATTGAAGATCGATCGTTCTCTGATTCAGGTCAAAATTACGATTTGTGGATGAATGAATAGATGTATGAATGGGCCCGCCCTATAAACCGGTGTGACGTATGGTGTGGCAGAAGTCGAATTCTTGACCATAGATGGCACCACTGGAAAACAAGAACAATCACACTCTCTCTGCCTAAATAAGCATACGTCAACAACAACAAACATTACGTAAGCATAATTTTGGCGATAGAAAAATTCCTCTCTTTGTCATCAAATATAAGCATATCACAAACCTCTTAGTGTTTCTCTTTAACGTTTGCCTTTAATGAACATATTTTAATTTTAGGAGTTCTCTAAATGCAGGCTTCATAGTTCACACATTACTAAAACACGAAACTTGATTTCATGCTTCTTTATTTCAAAACATTTTTATTCCTACAATGCATCCCATCTAAGAAAATCCACCTTCGTTAAATACTATAATTGACCGCAAAGAAAACCAATGAGAACCAAACATATATACTGAAATAGTCTAAATACATATTCACAAGGAATAAATCACTTCCATTCCCACCTGTACAGAAAAAAAAAGCATTGAATAAGTGAGAAAAGGTAGAAAAAAGGGAATCCGATTGAGGAAAAGCCTCTTCTGATTATGATTTAAATTAATTTCAATGATGACATGCTTAATTCTGCTGAAATCATTTTGTTTTTGTTTCCTTACCGAGAATAACAATCTAAATCCTTACCGAGGATAAAAATCGAGAATTTTTTTAGGGGTAATAAATAAAGGGCAAGCCATTAATGACTTGCACAATATTTTATAAAAATCAGCACTTTGAAGATTTTGAAGTGTAAATGAAACCGTTGATTGCTGGGAAATTTGACTTGGGTCCAGAAATCTCACTTCAAATACTAGTAAATGAGCTTCTAGCCCTTTTTTAGCTATCGGTAACTCCCACGCGGTTTGAGGGAACGATCCTGTTAAGTTTACCACTAAAGCTGAAGCGTTCTCATGGTATGTACGAGTCTTTACATTGTTTTCCCTTCGCATAAGATTCCTCTTCTTTTCTCCTCGATTGTTACGTTTTATGTATGCTACAAGAAATTTGAAATGTGTAAAAAATTGGCAGTTTCCCCTGTTAAAAGCTATTCACAGCAAAAGAAAGTAGAAAATAAAAGAATTAAAATGACCCAAACAGTTTTATGTGCTATTACCATGGTTTGAAAAAGGGAAAAATATTTCTTTTCTATTAAACAGCAATGTAGAGACTCATTAATTGAGTGAGAAGACTTCAGATATGGTGAGAAACTTAACCTAACATCTCCCTCAGGCTGTATAAAGACTACCGAAAACCCCAAAATGATGAAAGCTCATCTACTAACATTTGAAAGGAGAACTGCATACCCAAGTCGATTTTTCCAAAAAGGGCTTTCATTTACTTTACAGCATCTTCAAATTGTTGGTTTTCAGATAATAGGGTGAATGTTGTGAGTAGACTACCCTGTCTCATGACTTTAATCTCCAAGAAAACGTAGGGTGTATGTAAGGTTGTATATACAAAAAACATCAGTATCAAACTGTGGCAGAATCGAACACTGCCATCATTAAAACTTGACATAATATTTAGAAATAATAAATAGCATCACATATTTTAAACCAAATAACAATGGGATGAATATTTTGATTATAGTCCGAATTAGCATTTTCTCAACGGGGAGCATTTTCAGAATCAGGAAGTGACCTACTCCATGTAACTATGTGTTTAGATATAGACTTTTTTAGACCAATGAGATTTCGACTCTCACTGGTTTCTTTTGTGTCCTGTTATAGTGCAAAATCAAGATGTCTTTATTTAAGAGGGACACACTTTATCCGAAATATCAAAAAATATACCTTTTTATTAATGTTTTGAATAATCTTAAAACATATTTTAACTTATTATGGATTTGTTTGCTGGCAATTATCTTAGCTTTTAAAATAGTAGTGTACTACATGAAGCTAAATGTGAGACAAGGAGGATTAACACTCTCTTCGCTCCACTTCCTCTTTGTAATTTCTTCATAGTTTTTGCGCAGTAAGCAAAAATGCATTGTTAATTTAAATACTCAAAACAACGGCTGCTGAAGAGGAAGGGTATCTTGCATTTTTTTAATATAGCAAGAGATTATAATTTCCACGTAATACAAATATTACTATGCTTTTAATTTTTGAATAGGTTTTATCAAAACCACTTGATCAAATTACTAAAGAAACTAACTTTTGGTGTCTCATCTTTGTATTGCTGGGGATCACAGCTTTCGTGTTCTCGTTCCTTCAGGTAAATAAACCAGATTTGTATTTTTTAATATGTTAAATCATAATAATCTTTATATTTCCCTGCAATAGTTTACAACAACATTTACGTTATTATATCTTAAATATATTATTTTATTAAAAAAATACATTGAATTTATCTGTGTTGATTGTATAGCTAAGAAATATTTTGCTACATTTTTATTTCAACGCTATTTAATACACTTCCCGAAGTGTAATTGACAAAACACAATAAAATTTATTGTATACATACGAGCATTGATCCATAGAATGCTAGATGCACACATAGTAGAATGCTCATACATGAAGGGAATTTTATTAAATTTTCACTGATTGTGAATATAATATATTTTCAATCTCTAAATTATCTCCAATTAAACGTTACAATACAGTGTCTCTGATTAAGCGTTTTGCAGTGCAATCAAGTACTGACTGCCTGATGGCACTTTTGCGACACGATAAATGGCAACGTACAGGAGATGAACAAAATAATGGAAACACTTCCATATACTAATACATTTTTTCATATTTCTAGATAAATACTTAAAGAATCATTTAACAACTTTAAGCGATTTCTCATACTAAACAATGAACCGATTTGAGGGACCGAGTATAAAATAGAAACGGAAAATAGTTTTTTGAAACATCCTATGTCGAAAAACGAAGCAATAAGTTTGTAACTTGTAACAATTACTTTAGTTATTAAATGCATTAATTGCATAAAATTTCGCAAGCCTAGCTTAAATATTTATGGAAATGTGAACATTTAATAAAAAACAAATTTTTTTGTCTTACGTTTTCTTTGTTATAACTTTAAAAATATTCAATAAAATTAAACAAAATTTTTAGAGCAGTTTAAAATTAATTACAAAATATTTGCTTTAAAATTTGAAAAACATTTGTTGAAAACTGTGCAATATATGAGTGATTAAAGTAGTTTTTCTTATACTGCATGTGCGCGGAAAAAAATTAAAAAGCTTTTTTTCATAATTTTGTGGTAAATCGTATTTAGCATAAAAAAATTGACTGCAAAAAATTTCGAACCGTTACGCGAAAGAAAGTTATAGCATATTATAAAAAATATATAAAATTTTAAGCTATAGATAAAGTATTATTTTTCCCTGAATGAAATAAAAATAAAACATACTTCAGAAAGAAAAAAGTAATTAAAAAAATAAATCGTTAAGATTTAAGTTTTCTCAAGAATATAAAAATATTGATAAATAGCAGGTGCCGTTTAAGAATAGAAACTCTATATTTATATATCGTTAGTTGCGGTCTTAAGATAGTTGCTGACACCAAAATCGTGTCGCTACTTAATCTGCGTATCCAAGGCTTTACGATAAGTTTTGTCAGAGAAAGCAGGCTGTCGGGAATGTATACAACTGAGAAATTTACCAAATGTTATTATTAGAACCGATGGTGGCTCATAGGATAGAGCACTAGCCTCCCAATGAGCGGAACCGGATTCAAATCCCAGCGATGACTGGTCGGCACGAATTCCACTCGCACCGACTACAGTGCTGACGTAAGATATCCTCAGTTTTAGACGAATCATGGGTTAGAATACCTTTGCCGCCAGGCTAACATGGAAGGTTTTCGTGGTTTTCCTCTCAACACAAATGCTGGTTAGTTCCATCAAAAAATCCTCCACAAAGGCAAATTTCTCCCAATTGGTTGGGTTCAAAACTACACTGCTACGGAGTTGAACATTGATAAACTCAAAATTGGGTCAGTTGTTCAACAGCGGTTATAAAAAGAAAAAAAAATTATTATTCAAAACATCTTTAGTGTTATTCGTGTATAGCAAGAAATAATAACTCGATTATTTGATTACTCTATTAGTTTTTTTTTTAATAGTTAGCGTTTGTTTTAGCATTTTTTATGTAACTAAATCCTTCATCATTACTTATTTTTAGGCATTTATGTTTTCTGTAGCTGGAGAAAAATTAACTTCAAGACTAAGAAAAATGGTGTTTGCCAACTTAATTACACAAGTTCGTAATTATTGTTATGTATTATATTGTGATTTCAATTTAAATCTAGCATTTTTTTAAGAAGTTGTTTTTAATAGGATATGAGTTTTTTCGACGACTCTAAAAACAGTGTTGGTGCTCTTTGCTCTCGCCTGACATCAGATGCTTCACAAGTCCAAGGGGTAAAAATATTTTAAGTTATTAAATAAATTGTTTATTGTTTTATTATTTTATCTATCTCTATTTCGTTTTTCTTCTCCTAAGACGATCAGTTTCTTTTAATCATTTTCTATATTTCTTGATGTTCAACAATGACAATTAGTAACAAATCACTAATTAATAATTTTGTTTCTAATAAAAATTATTGACAACAGTATTGAATTTCTGAATCAAGTTATTAAATATCAAGATTTTTTTTCCTCTTATTTCGTACTGACGGTGCGCTGCTCAGTCGAAAAGTTTTAATAGAAATTTCTTCTAACAACATAATTATGTTACGCAATACAATTATGCAATAGTATTGAGTAATAATTTTGCGTAATAATTTTAAGTAAAATATATGTAAATAGCTTTATTACTGTTATTAAAATCGTAAGGGGAATTTTCTTTAGTTAAAATTTGTAAAATATAAAGCACCCTTACCGAAATTAAATTGTAAAATTCCATACCCTTTTCTTATGAATGATATAAAGTAGTCTTCTTACAAAAATATCAACACCAATGCGTAAAATATACGAAAGTTTTCTTACCGAAATTGAAATGGTAAACTTATTCTTTGTCAATAATATGTAAAATTTACGGAAGAATACTTACCAAAATGGTAAATTTATTTAGTCTATAATACGTAAAAAATACGAAAGGTATCTTACCGAAGAGTAGTTAGTAATATCCATTTCGATTATATTACGTAAGATATGTGAAGGCATTATTAACCAATTATCTTAATGATAAATTCGTTCCGTCAATATTACATAAAATTTACGTGTTAGGCTCTTTGCATAAAACAATTATTCCAAAGATTTACGTTTATTTTACAAATTGAGAAACCAAGGAGCAGAAGGATGTTTAAGACGTCGCGAATGCTCATTCGGTTATTACCTGCTTCTATGTTATTTTTAAAAATATTTGTCAAAATTTTTATTTTATTTTCTCATGGGGACAATTTAGGCTACCGGTGCCAGAATGTCCACTTTATTTCAAGCTCTTTCAACCTTTGTATTTGGAGTAGTTCTCGCATTGTGGTATGATCTGAGACTTGGTGGTGTAACATTGGCTTTCATGCCGTTCGTCTTTTTGGGAGCTTATTTTGATTCATTAGTAATGTCTGGTCAAATGACAAGTGAAAAAACTGGAGCGGAAGATGCATCGAAGGTAAATAGCCTGCGTTTATTTTTTTAAATGTTGTATTTACATGATGTAATGTCTTCTTTGTGCTTTTTAATTTTTCATCAAAAACATGCAAGATACTCTGCATCAATTCACGTAGCTGCTGCTCTTAAAACTGTTTCCTTTCAAATCTGTGCTAACACTTGTTGATATAGCGCGTAAGAATATATCTTCTGAACATTAGCCAAAAACGAATTAATTTAGAGTAAAATGTTAACTACTTATGCAAAATAATTTTTTTTTAAATATTTTTATAGTCGGCGCTGAATAGTCGACCCAATTCTGAGTTTACGACTATAACAATATACAACTCCGCAGCCCTGTAATTTTGAGCCCTATTCAGAAGACATGGGGATCCCGGATCAGACTATAATACAAACTAGCCCTCGTGGAGATCTTCTTGGTTGAACTAACCCGTATTTGCGTTAGATGAAGAAGAGAACCGCAAAAACATCTAACGCTTAAGCCCATGGTATTTGGAATCTAGCTTATGATCTGTCTATGACTGGGGATCTTCTATGTAAGCAATGTGATCGGTGCGAGCCGGGAGCAGAACTCGTATCTGCAAGCCACTTCCGAGATTCGAAGCTGGATCAACTCATTCGGAGGCGGCTCTATCTCATGAGCTATTGCGGATGATACTAAAAGCCGGCCATTAATGACGGCACAACTTTTTTCAATATTTTTCAAAAGTGTCACACTTCATCATACCCCATACCACCCATTGTCGCATGACACAATATATCATATAACAACCCTGGTGACTCGAAGAATAGAGCATTCGCCCTCCAATGAGGTGAGCTGGGTTTCAATCCCAGAGGTGGCTGGTCGATTCCATTTTTGCACCCGTCTCTTATAGACCACAGTGTTAATGTAAAATATCCTTAGTGGTAGACAGATCATGGCTTAAAGTCCCCTTGCCGTCAAGTTAACCGTAGGAGGCTTTCATGGTTTTCTTCTCCGTGTAATGCAAATGCGGGTTAGTTCCATCAAAAAGTCCTCCACGAAGGCGAATTTCAGCCAATACTTGATCCAAGAGTACCCTTGTATTCTGGATTACGTTAAAAATTACAAGGCTATTGAGTTGAACATTAGTAATCGTAAACCCAAAAACTGGGTCGGCTGTCCAACGCCGGTTATAAAATAAAATATATTGCATAGACACATGCTGACATTGCAAAAAACAAAGCACTATGGTACAACTTAGGATTAAAATCTTATTTTCAAACATTAACTATATGTTTTAATGGCATTTGTGAGCATATAAATAATAATTTTACTACTTTTTTTTATTAAAAAAATGAGAAACGATCAAAATTAGTAATACAAGAATATTTAATCCTTCGACATGAAATATTTTTATTCTAAACCAAAATTTGTATTGTCACACTTCTTGCATTCCCCTCGCTCCTCCTTATTTCTATTTCATGAATCTCCTCTAACACCCCTACAAGCGCAGCATGATTTGTGGAGGGCCCCTTATGCGAACCAATTGCATAAGTTCATGAAAAATATAAATATAACAAACACGAATCTTCTGTAGGAGGTGATTCGATGCAATGAAATAACATTGGAATTGAAATTTTGAACAAAATTGAAAATAAAATACACCAAATACATGTGACTTCTTCCTTAAGAGATTATTTGGTGAAAAGAAAGATTTAAAACACAATTCTGTTGTGCGTGCTAAATTATGTAATAAAATATGTCTTTTTACTTGAAAAAAAGATATGAAATAAAAGAATGATTCGCGAAAGATTCACGAAATAATTCATTAAACAGTTAAGGGTAGACAGGTAGTAATACAAGTAGACACAGGTAGTATCAGGGTAGTAAAGTAAAAAAGAAGCAGTTATTTATCTTTATAACTGTTTATTTACATTAGCTTTTGAACATATAGTTTGCTTCTAGTACAGCTGAGAGAACAGTAGGCTCATTGAAATTAATGGATGGTACAGAAGCATTCTAAGAATCTCCTATAGCTGATTAATTTTGTAAAGTTTTTTCATTGTTTTAAAATAAGATTTTATTTTAAATTTTTTTTAAAATTCAAAATAGCTTTTACGTTACATGTACAAAGTGTTAAGACGTATTTCAATTTGGTTTGATCAACAATAAAACTCTGCTGAAAGTTGTAGGAAAGTCAATCTTCTAGATCACCTTAAGCCACCTTAGGGTAATTTGTATTACTTAATTTTTGCATCAGCTGATTAAAAACTTTTTAAATGAAAAATAATTTCTTTAAAAAAATCTATATTGTTTGTAACAAGATTTCGTGTTTTTAAATCTAATCTGTAACTATCATAAGTGAATAATTAAAAATAAAGTAACAATTTCTCTCAGATTTGTACTGATTTTTGATGTATTGTGAACATTTCAGAATGTTAAAAAAACCAAATATGAATTAGTGATTTTTTTTTTTTAAAAATGGATAAAATGTAGACAGCGAATAAACGATGATTTTAATAAAAGAAATTTGATAAATTTTTTTCAAAAGAAATTTGGAGCAGCAGAAAGTGCAATTGCAAAATATAAATTTTACTATAATACTATAAAACTAAGTTTGTATATAATATTCAAAACTTCATTCATAGCATTTTTTCTTTCTTATAAAAGAAGAGGAAAGCTTCAAAAGATTCACAATATTTTAAAACTCAATAAAAGAGGGTTTTTGAAGAAAAAAAACCTGCCTGGTAATGCCTATAAAACAAAGCAAATATAAAGACGCACCTATTGTTTAAAATGTTTTTATAGGCACCACTTTAATAATTAATAATTGTCTTTTCATACAGGTAGCAATAGAAGCAATAGAAAGCATACGTACTGTTGCATCTTTGCATCAAGAAAAAAACTTTTACCTGCAGTTCTACAATGCTTTATTGAAACCTCTCAAGTTAGTTTATATTATAATAAGTGTTTGAAATAGTACCTTAAAAGCTAAGTTTTATTTAAAACTCACGACCACTTTGAATAAAGGAATTATATTTTACTTCCAAGGTATGTCTTGAAAAATTCCTTTCCTGAAATTATAATATTTAATTATTTTCTTAAATTTTAATCTATTAATAATAATTAATGAAATAATTAAAATTAATAGTATTTATAATTCGCTTTTAATGTTAATAAAAATCGTTATTAATGACTATAATAACTGACTAATAATGCGTAAAGAGTACCCTTAATCCAAGGTTTATTTAAATTCGAAATAAAACTGAATTAATAGTTTACATTTCATTTGAAGAGATTAAATGTATTTCTATATATTAAAAATTAAAATTCATCAAATATATCAAGAACGAATTTAATGATTTGATTTTATTTGATTCTACTGTATATTTTGTTGACAAATTATGAAAAAAAATTATTAACGTTATTTTTTGAATTTGAAATGTGAAAAATGAATTTGAAATGTGAACAGCAGGGAATGTTGCATGGTCATTTCGGAACTTTCATTACATTCTAATGAGAAGCTTAATACACCATTGCAAGTTAAGAAAAGACCATTGAGGAATAGGATTTAGACTGCATCATCAGCTACTGTATTTAATTCTTTTCAAATTAGTTATCAAATTATATAAATATGCTATCAAAACAATATGAAAGCTTTTAAAACTTAATCTCGTCGGACAGAATAATTCGTGTTCTCTTTTATGATATATATCATGGAATTATTTAAGTAGGTTTATAGCTTGGTAGTCTTACAGAAATTCTAGACTTGGCGACATATTTCGATAAATAAGAAGAACATTCCTTCTTGAAAAAGATAATACAACAATTATATAACGTTGCAAAAGCACTGGATTCAATTAGACCACTAAAAATGGCGCGTTTTATGCTGGCATACTCTTTATAAATCAAATGCGAGATAAAGAAATGTTTTGCTGTCGAAGAAGATCGTCTGCTCGAAACAATATGTATTATTATTCTATTAGTTTCTTTAAATGCGAAAAGAAAGACGTATATTTGTTTTAATTTTTCGATATTATTTTTATTTATTAATTCTTATTAACATAACAATAGTTTTTGTTCAGTAAGTTTTATTCACTTCATTTCACGCGATTTAAGAAAACAAGCAAAAAGATGAAAGTGGGCAACGTCGTTTCAAGAGTTGGCGATGTGGATGTACGTTCCCGTTGGGAGCATGGCATCCACTTGGCGAGCACAGCATTCATTCTTAGAAGCAAACAGGCTCTATCCATAAGAATAATGGTTTTTTTCATAACTTGCTACAGAGTATCATAACAAAATATTGACTTAAATAACCTTTTTTTGTTTGATGCTAAATTATAAGTTAGTTATCCAGAAATTAATTTTTAATTGGTCCATCTTTAGTTAAAAAACAATAATGATTTTCAATGGCTTATTTTTCAATCTAACTACTGCTCATTTCTTAGAAACTCTCGGAATATGGCCCACTTAAGAGGATTCATTTATGGTTTTGCCCAAGCGCTAAATCCTCTTTCTTACTCTGCTGTTTTGTATTATGGAGCTGTACTAGTTGCTGATAAAGAGCTGAAATACGATTCTTTGTTGAAGTAAGTATTTGTTAGTATTCGTGATTGGGAAAAAGAAAATGCAATTTAATAGAATTGTAAAAAACGAAATGCAATGCATTAGAATTTTGTAAAACAAGTGCAAAGATGCAAATTTCAATATTCAGAGTGCCTAAAATAATTTTAAAAAATAGAAATCCAATTATAAATAAATAAAAAATTGTTATATAATAATGTATTAGTTCCACATCATGAGCTTTTGAAGTCCGCTCCAAATTTCTTCATACTTTGAAAAGTTTTTCGTTCAACGGTTAACGGTTGATTTCTCAATTGATTCAATTCATAGTTTTTACATGACATCATTAGACTTAATTTAATAACAATTTTCTAATCAGTATTTAAAAAAAATTCTATGAAAAAATTAAACTAGTACAATAAAATTGTTAAAATCATAAATGATAATGAAATACAATTCATGATTTTTACATACTTGGAGAACATTCCTACACACGTAAAAAATTCCGTATTAAATTACGGTAAAAAGTACCGGCACTCAAGGTGCATAGTTTTCACCTTAAAATCTATATTTACTAAAACATGTTAAGGTACAAAAAATTTGATAAACATTAATTTTTACTGTAATAATTACAGTAAAATCATTTAATCACTCTAATTAAAAAAATACAGTAAAATTATATTTTACGGATGATGTTCGCAAAGTTTTTTCTGGAGACTGGAATTTTTTACAGTTTACTGATTGCGGTTTGATTATTGTACTTAAAATGCCCCAATTAAATTCTCAATTTCTAAATGTATATATTATATGAATTTTTAATTTAATGAAAGAAAGACGAATGAAATACTGGTGCAGCTTTAGAAAATATTAATCGAATCATTTATTTACTATAAAGAAATCAAGAAAGAGATATCTCTATTTTTCTCTTAAGAGGAAAACNTTCCTTCTTGAAAAAGAAACAATTATATAACGTTGCAAAAGCACTGGATTCGATTAGACCACTAGAAATGGCGCGTTTTATGCTGGCATACTCTTTATAAATCAAATGCGAGATAAAGAAATGTTTTGCTGTCGAAGAAGATCGTCTGCTCGAAACAATATGTATTATTATTCTATTAGTTTCTTTAAATGCGAAAAGAAAGACGTATATTTGTTTTAATTTTTCGATATTATTTTTATTTATTAATTCTTATTAACAAAACAATAGTTTTTGTTCAGTAAGTTTTATTCTCTTCATTTCACGCGATTTAAGAAAACAAGCAAAAAGATGAAAGTGGGCAACGTCGTTTCAAGAGTTGGCGATGTGGATGTACGTTCCCGTTGGGAGCATGGCATCCACTTGGCGAGCACAGCATTCATTCTTAGAAGCAAACAGGCTCTATCCATAAGAATAATGGTTTTTTTCATAACTTGCTACAGAGTATCATAACAAAATATTGACTTAAATAACCTTTTTTTGTTTGATGCTAAATTATAAGTTAGTTATCCAGAAATTAATTTTTAATTGGTCCATCTTTAGTTAAAAAACAATAATGATTTTCAATGGCTTATTTTTCAATCTAACTACTGCTCATTTCTTAGAAACTCTCGGAATATGGCCCACTTAAGAGGATTCATTTATGGTTTTGCCCAAGCGCTAAATCCTCTTTCTTACTCTGCTGTTTTGTATTATGGAGCTGTACTAGTTGCTGATAAAGAGCTGAAATACGATTCTTTGTTGAAGTAAGTATTTGTTAGTATTCAAGATTGGGAAAAACAAAATGCAATTTAATAGAATTCTGAAAAACGAAATGCAATGCAATACAATGTTGTAAAAACAACTGCAAAGATGCAAATTTCAATATTCAGAGTACCCAAAATAATTTTAAAAAGTAGAAATCCAATTATAAATAAATAAAAAATTTTTACATAATAATGGATTAGTTCCACATCATGAGCTTTTGAAGTCCGCTCCAAATTTCTTTATACTTTGAAAAGTTTTTCGTTTAACGGTTAACGGTTCATTTCTCAATTGATTCAATTCATAGTTTTTACATGACATCATTAGACTTAATTTAATAACAATTTTCTAATCAGTATTTTAAAAAAATTTTATGAAAAAGTTAAACAAGTACAATAAAATTGTTAAAATCATAAATGATAATGAAATACAATTTATGATTTTTACATACTTGGAGAACATTCCTACACACGTAAAAAATTCCGTATTAAATTACGGTTAAAAGTACCGGCACTCATGGTGCATAGTTTTCACCTTAAATTCCATATTTACTAAAACATGTTAAGGTACAAAAATTTGATAAACATTAATTTTACTGTAATAATTACAGTAAAATCATTTAATCTCTCTAATTAAATAAATAATACAGTAAAATTTTACAGTAAAATTATACTTTACGGATGATGCTCGCAAAGTTTCTTTTTTGGAGTCTGGAATTTTTTACTGTTTACTGATTGCGGTTTGGTTATTGTACTTAAAATTCCCCAATTAAATTCTCAATTTCTAAATGCATATATTATATGAAATTTTAATTTGATGAATAAGAGACGAATGAAATATTGGTGCAGCTTTAGAAAATATTATTCAAACCATTTATTTACCATTAAAAAAAACACGAAAGAGATATCTCTACACTTCTCTTAAGAGGAAAACCAATAAAATTTTTTCAGTTTGTTTTCGAACGATATTGCCAGAGCAGCTTGGCGCGGGCTACAAAAGTCCATATCTCGGAAAATTAGTGTATGTGTGTCTATATATATCTTGCCCATATGTTACTCCCTATATATCTCTCTATCTTATTATTATATTATATATAAACCAATGCTTGTGCTAGATTCCTTACATTTATAGCAGGGGATTCAATATTTTCACGCGATCCTAAAAACCGTTCAAGCCTTTTTTTTTTCTTTTTTTAAAAAAAATTATATTGTGTTAAAACCGGTTTTTCGTTTAAATTACGAGACCCAAGAACCTATTATAGATATAAACATGAACATTAGATAAAAATATGGAGTGATTCTTTCATTGTTATTTAAAACACAGGCGGAAAGAAAAGTACAATATTTAGTGGGATTTTTTAATATAAGCAAATAAATTAAATTTCATCTCGAACTAAGCGAAAAGAATAGAATTGGTTTTTTCCCGACCGTTCTTACTTTCGTCTTCTTTCGTGTCGTCAGCACTTAAATACAAATTTTTATTTAAAAAAAAAATATTAAATTTAAGATTTTTTCCTCAGTAAGGACACCGGGTATTCAGCTTGCTTCAAAAGCATACAATTTTACGAAGATAGTTATTTCTTTAAGCGACGTTTTACGTTTGAAAATGCTATGTTTGATGCATAAATGGATAACAGTATGCAAAATATTGAACGAATTAAAATAGTTATATTGTGAAGATTTCAATATCGTGATCCGTGCTAAGTAATCGCCAAATCTTGACAATTTCCAGACAGTTCGTCGCAAGATTTTTAAAAAAAAAATCACAGAAAAGGACTTGCATGCAGGGCGTATGCGTATTCTATGCTTATTTCAACTCGTAGCAACATCGAGCAAACCTGTACTTCTTTTTTTATTCTCATTTAGCCCATGGTGATTGTTGTTGGCGCGACAGATCACAATACGGAAAGATTTCCACTATATTTTCAGATTCTATAGAAATTTTTATATTGTAACAAATGAAAAAATAGTTGCATTTTAACAGTATTTTATTTTAAACGTTTAATCTTAACATTTTTAAACTTTCCATTCAAGATTTAACTTTTGATCTCAATTTTATAATTAAGTTAATTTTTCGTTTTATTGTTCTAATTAAACTAGAGTGCTCGAAGGAGTTTTAATGGGGATGATGTTTGTTGGACAAGCAATGTCATTTGCTCCAGATTACAATAGAGCTAAGCTAGCCGCTGTTAGAATATTTAAACTTCTTGATGTAGAACCTAGAATAGATTCTCTATCAGTACATGGAAAAATTCTGGTATGTTATTTAGCATGTTTAAAATATTTGCAGCAATTCTTGAAATAATGCTATTTTATTTATCGACATTTAGATAACATGTTCATAACCTGTAACATTTACACAACATTAGATAATATGTAACTGAACATTTAGATAATATGCATGCAATATATAATAATATGGGAATAAAATTTTATCATGTGTTTTTATTTAATCATAATAAAAGTTTCATCTCTACTAATTATGAGACTAGGCATTCATGTTGATACATGTTTAAAGTACAGGACCGATCCTCAAAATTATTTTTATTGTGTCATAAGAATGTGATATTATTTTCACTGAAATATGCTTAAATTACATTCATTAAAGCAGAAAAAAGCTTCATTCAAGGGAAATAATGCTTTTAAGAAATGAAATGGTCCTTAAATGGTGATAAAATTCATCATGGTGCATTCATCATGGTGCATAGATTATGGTTTGAATAAAAACGGTAGAACTTTTAATCCGTAATAAAAACATATGATCAATATCAAGAGGAGTAATTATACTTCCAAAAGGTTCAATTTATAAATAACCATTTCAAGTTTAAAAAAACCATCATACTTTAAAATGTTCTCAACAGAAATTGTTTATTCCAAATAAGTGACTAATATATTTTAATAAATGTCTTCAGTACCTTTAAAAATAGCAGAAAAATACAGTGTGCATCACAGTGGAAATAAAAAATATTTATTGAAATGGTGTATTTACACACATTTGTCTAAAAATGTGCTAATACCTTATTTAGTTTTAGTATATATAAATTGCATTGTCAAGAACTGCAAATATTACAAGATGTAAGAAAATGATACCCCAAACTACGAAACACATCTTTAAAAAAAACTAGATTAATTTTTAACGTACAGATCATATTGGTAGGAAAAAATCAAAATCTGTTTAAATGCTGGAATTATAAACATGCACGGAACTGGGATAATTTTATCCTCTTTCTCAGTTTGAGTTTTTTAATTTCATAAATTTTTCTCTTTATTTAGAATGAAGTTAAAGGATATGTTGATTTTCGAAAAGTGTACTTTAATTATCCAAGTCGACCTAATACAAGAATATTGAGAGGACTTGAATTGAGTATTAAACCTGGGAAGACGGTGGCTCTTGTGGGCAGTAGTGGATGCGGTAAAAGTACTTGTGTACAATTAATCGAACGTTTTTACGACCCTTTACAAGGGAATGTGGTAAGAAACGATTTATATAATGATATAATGATTCATATATAGATATAATGATTTATATAATCATATATTGAATTATATAATCATATAAGGATTTATCTGATGATATAATGATTTATATGTGCAGCTTAAAATGGTTTTAATGTTGCTTTTTTGAAATATTTCTTTAAGATTGTTGTCCAACCTTTATTAATTATCAAGAAATACATAAATGAAAAAATAAGAGAAACAGTTCCTTCTTGTGTTTTAATTCATGAATATTTGAATTAAGAATGTCTGAGTACAGATACCATAACTTTAATGAAGCTTATACAGTATAACCGATTACACTGGGGAACATTTTTTTGTAGCATGAGATTTGTTAAAACATCTTAGATACTTTCGTATCACTGATTTCAAATCTGCAATTGGTTTCTCTATAATGGCTACAGCCTTTTTGTTTCAAATTACATTTTTTTGTCCTTATTTTTTTGTCTATTTTTTGTTGAAAAAATGTTATTGCAACGTTAAAAATCGTTATTAAACGCTATTAAAAAGTTATTAAAAGCGTTACAGTCTAAAAACGTTACAGATAAAGTCTCGTAAATGTTGAGACAAACTCCTAGAGGAGTTAGAGCTCATTATCAGTATTAAAATTGCACGACCTACCTGGACATACCCGGAAATGTCGTGCACGGCTAGGAATGCTCCACAATTATAAACTGCTCATTCATTCGCTTCTGAACAGGTCATAATACGACATTTCTGGGCACGGATTCCTGTGCTGTTTTCATCCTGATGATGCACCTGAACTCTCAAAGAAGTTTGTCGCATCTTTTATGTGACCCCCTGTTACATATAACTTTTTTAAACTTGTACATTTCATCACAAAATAGACTAAAAATGCAATTTTTAAAAAAAACTTGCTTTAGGAGCAAAATTAATTTGAGATTTGGAATCTAACTCCTGAATTAGGCAAGTTTACGTATTTGTATAAATGCATCAAAAAAGTTTGTTTTCCAGTGTTATGCAAACATCTGTTTTTTAAGTACCTCCGAATTGAAATTGATTCTGAAGTGAAATTGATCCTAAAGTGAAATTGATTCTGAAGTGAAATTGATTCAGAAGGGAAATTGATTCATTTAATAATTTCAATAATATGCCGTTATAATTTTACACGAAATGTTTTCAAAATGCTAAATCTTTCTGAACTGCATAACGCTATCGAAGTGACTATTTTAATTAAGTAACAGATAAACGTTTTGCCAGTCTGTGAAGTTGGTTCTCTGGTTGCTTTGATTTTATTATAAAAATTTCAAAGTTACAATTTTCATTCATTCAATCTTTTCTATTATTTTAAGTATAGTTTGATTACCAAAGCTTTCAATTCCGCTAAAAGAAGAGATTTTGTTTTAAATGGGAGGGAAAAAAATTAGGTCATAGGCTGATGAAGGGAATCTAATTCACTGAAATAAATACGAAAATGAGTTAACTTTTCAAAACCTCCAACTACCTAAAAAATTGAGCGACGGAATACTTTATTTTAAGTTAAAACCAAGCCAATTCGTCATAAATATTTCAGAAGGTGCAGTAATATTTGTATATCAATTATGTAAAATGCTTGCACCAAACTCATACACACTCATATCATATTCACTCAGGATATCGTTAGTCAAATGCTTAGTAATCACTGTTGTTTTCTACGCAACAATACATTTAAATAAACGAATATGTGCCGTTAAAATATGTATCTATGATTTTAGTAGTGCAGCAAGATTATTTATATTTTAATTTACCGGGATGGGATTGGTAGGACTTTGGACTCATGTTTGTGAGAACGGGAGTTGAGTTCTAATGCTGCCGGCCAAGTAATTTCCGTGTAGTAAATGGCGACAGGTGCTCGTTAAATATGTCCGGGGTACAAAGTCCTCCGATTTCCCATAACAAATACCTCTTGGGGTACTGAATTGAAGATCGTTTTCTAGTTCAAGTCAAAATTTCGATCTGTGAATTAATGGAGTATGATTAGGTCCTTCTTGTAAAACAGGTTATGTTATGACGTGTGCATGTCTGAAGTCATGCTATTGGCCATAGATGACGCCCCTGAAAAACAAAAACTACAAACGCATCCTCTGTCTTAAAATTTGCTTAATTTTAAGCAGACTTGCTTATTTTAGCATATGGCATTAGTAATAACAACAACATATTTTAATTTATTAAACTCTCTGAAATGTATTCAACAAGCGAAAACTAATAATCTAAAATTTCTATCCTCTTCTCTTATGTTCGTATTACTCTTAATGTTCTTCTCTATTACTCTTATTCTTAATATTCTATTACTCTTAATTTAGTTCGTATTACTCTTAATATTCTTCTTCGCTTTGCGTATGTTTAATTTAACAGCTAATTTTAATTTAAGAATTAGTGTATGTATGCATCTACAATTAATTATTCTCAGCTAATATTGTTTCGCAAAAATAACTGACTTTATGTGTATCTTATCTTGCTGTAATTAAAAATATTTAGTCCTACTGATTAAAACGTTTTGGCTGTTTCTTTACACCTAGTGAACATACTTAGCGTTTCACTGCACCTGGAACAATCCTTCATTCTTAATATCGTGTGACACTAGTTTAGAGTAAAATTGTTGCCACCATTCTTGATGTTAAGATACATTTTTTTTTACTGTAAGCAAACAGCTAATTCAAAAACAACAAAAAAGAACTTAGTATTGTTATTTGGGGTAGTTGCACAGGAGAATTTTAAAATTAAATATTTTTATACCTATTTCATAAAAGAACGTCTATAAAAAAGATTTATTAAAACAAAATTTAAATCTTGTTGAATCTTATAAGTGCACCAATTACACTAAAATTATAGTACATAATATCACAGTACATTACATAGAATTTCACAATGAAAATTACATAATTTGGAACAAAAAGATTTTACTAGTCTTTTCTTCGTTTTATATATTAATTTATAGAAACAGATATAATTACATCAATTACAGATTATTAATTAAAGATGATTTATGCGTGATTGATTAAATTGTGATTGTCATTCATATAGTTCTCAAAATAATTTATTTTTTCGTTCAAATTAGGTATTTGACCGAGAAAACGTTTCAGATTTGCAAGTGGCTAACCTCCGATCTCACATCGGCCTTGTATCACAGGAACCTGTCTTATTCAGTTATAGTATAGCTGAAAACATAGCATACGGGGACAATTCTAAAACAGTTGAAATGCAAGAAATAATAGAAGCAGCTCGTCAAGCCAATATACATACTTTCATTTCTTCATTACCTCAGGTAAAAATAAGAATATAAATATATTTCACTTTATTATTAGTTCTCATCATTTTTTTTTCGTTATGTCTGCAAGTTATGTCTGTTAGTTACATCTTCTCGATTCAAAACATTTAATTTTACTCTAAATAACATTTCTTATGTTTTTCTTCGTCAGAAAACCACTAAAATTGAATAGAAATTTGCGGTTTCTACAAAAATAAGCTTTAGAACATACGCAAGAAAAACGCAATAAGAGGTATATTGCTCATTCCATAAACATATTCCCACTTAGATCTATACTCATGTCTCAAAGATAAGAAACGAGCTTATTTTCCTGGATAACGAAAGGAATTAAAATCAAGTAGGGGAGAGTCGGGTAGCCCCACCCGCAGTCAATTTCATATGTATAGAATATTTTTTCAAGTCAATGGACCATCGGACATTAATTGTTATACTAAAAAAAGATTATTTTCAAAGTTTCAAGTATTTATGCAGCTGGTAACATGGTAAACAATAGTTTTGAAAATATGTTGAATACAGTAGTCATGAAATTAAGAAAAATTGGTTGAATGTTTCGATTAAACTTCATTTTAATACTAAAAAAATAATTTTTTCTATACATACAGNTTTGGCTGTTTCTTTACACCATGTAGTATAACGAACATACTTAGCGTTTAAATCATATAATTTGGAACAAAAAGATTTTGCCCGTCTTTTCTTCGTTTTATATAATAAGTTATTAAAACAGATGTCATTACATTAATTACAGATGATTTATGGGTGATTGATTAAGTTGTGGTTGCTGTTTATATAGTAGACAAAATAATTTATTTTTTCATCCAAATTAGGTATTTGACGAAGAAAACGTTTCAGATTTGCAAGTGGCTAACCTCCGATCTCACATCGGCCTTGTATCACAAGAACCTGTCTTATTCAGTTACAGTATAGCTGAGAACATAGCATACGGGGACAATTCTAGAACAGTTGAAATGCAAGAAATTATAGAAGCAGCACGTCAAGCCAATATACATACCTTCATTTCTTCATTGCCTCAGGTAAAAATAAAAACATAAATATATTTTGCTTTATTTTTAGTTCTTATCATTATTTTTTTTTGTGTGTGTTAGTTATGTCTTTTCATTTCAAAACATTTAATTTTACTTTAAATAACATTTCTTAAGTTTTCTTCGTCAGAAAACCACTAAAAATTAAAGAGAAATTAGCGGTTTCTACAAAAATAAGCTTTGGAATCTACGCATTAAACAAAAAAGAATCAGTTTTGGAGAAAAAAGCAATAAAAGGCATATTGCTCATTCTATAAGCATATTCCCACTTCTACATCACTTCCCACTATTGCTATGCTCATGTCCTAAAGATAATATGCGAGCTTATTTTCCTGGATAACGTAAGGAATTAAAATCAAGTTTAATGAGTTAATCAAGTTTAATAAAAGGACAACAAAAAATATTGGCATGAACTGAAGATCACGAATTTATGAACATCACACTAGAAATTATGTACAAAAATTGAACTTGTAGAGGATTTAATCTAAGATATTTGAACCTCGATGGCAATGGAATTCACACAAAATCTCATGCTGTTTACGAGATTGACGAATAGTCTTACAATAAATTTATTTAGAATTAATTTACAGTTAATTTTTTTTTCTATGAAGGGATACGACACTCCAGTTGGTGACAAAGGCACGCAATTAAGTGGCGGCCAAAAGCAGAGAGTGGCTATTGCTCGAGCCCTGTTAAGAAATCCCAAAATATTACTTCTTGACGAAGCAACTTCTGCCCTTGATGCAGAAAGTGAAAAGGTATGTCAAAACTCTCATTAAAAAATTCTAATATAGTTGGTATACTATATAAAACACTTTCACTTGATTTTAAATACTAGGATTTTAGTATTTAAAATTTAATTTTAGAAACATTTTAGAGAAGATGGTTTAAAACTGCGTAGTTGATGATTTTGTTGTAGGTCATTAAGGCGCTGGGGAAGTGATCGTTCTTCTTTTCCAGTGGTGCTATCTATGGCTAAGAACTTGATTTTTGCCACACCCATACGTCACACCCGCTTATAGGGCGGACCCATTCGTACAATATACATACGCAATTTTGACCTGAACCGGAGAACGATCAATCTCAAATCCAGTACAAGCAGAGATATATTTTGTTATGGGAACATGGAAGACTTCATGACCCCACAGATTTTACGCGCTTCAGCCACCATTTACAACACGGGAAGTCTTTGGCCAGCTAGATTTGAACTCCCCTTCTCTCCAACGTGAGTCCAGCGCGCTACCAACCAGAGGCTATCCCGGTCCCCTTTAAAACTGTGTAGCTATGCATTTTAATTTTTCATGAAATTATGACTAAAGCAGCTTAGGCTTAAATGCCTAAGTATGCCTATAATGCAACATCATACATATTTTGTGTATAAAAACAAAATAGAATTGCAAAACAACGCATGTCTGATGAATGCAATTCCCGATTCAGTTGTGCAATAAGTTTTACCTATGGAATTTAAACAAAAAAATAATTCCGCTTGAAAAAAGTTGAGAATAATCGTAAGAAATAACGAGTTTATTTTAAGATATCTTACCGAAAAAACCTACTCCCCCAAATGTGACGAAATTTTGAAAACGAAAATAACAAAACATTCTGATTATTCTACAAAAGTTTATTCGTAATTATTAGGATTTTTCTGTGGGAAAAAAATTATCAAACTGTTGACTTTTTAAAAAAAAAAAAAAATTAATTTCAAAAAAAGAAAAATTTTAAAAATTAGCAAAAAAAATATTATTGGAGAGGATTTTGAGGCTTTTTCAAAGAATTCATTCTAAATTTTCTGCCTTCGTTTCAGTTTTAGAAAGAAATATTGTTTTTTTTTTTTTTTTTTTTAAGATACTTTATCAATTTTAAAACTATGAACCGTGATGACTCAGGGGATTGAACGCTCCACTCGCCGTGTGGTAACCCGGGGTTGAATCTCAGCGATGGCTGGTTGATGCGAATTCCGCTCCCGGCTCGCACCGACCACAATGCTGACGTAAAATCAGCTGTGGACGGATCATGGGTTAGAGTTCCTTTACCATCAGGCTAACCGTGGGAGGTTTTCGAGATTTTCCTCTCTATGTAACACAAATGCCCATTAGTTCTCTCAAAAAGTTCGCTCCACAAAGGTAAATTTCTCCCAATACTTCATCCAAGAGTTTTCTTGTCGTCTAAATCGGGTTCAAAACTACAAGACTACGAGGTTGAACATTGGTAGTCGTAAACTCAAATTTGGGTCTGCTGTTTAACGACGGTTATAAACATTTTAACGCTACACACCAAGCCGGCTCAGGGGATGAAACATTCGCTTCCGGGTTCGAATCGCGGCGTTAACTGGTTGGTACGAATTCTGCTCCTGTCTCGTACGGACCACAGCGCTGATGTAAGTTCAGTAGCAGAAGGATCATAACTTAAAATCCCCTTACCGTTGGGCTAACCGGTGGAGGTTTTCGTCGAGGTTCCTCAGAATGAAACGCAGCTGCCACCAAAAGTAATACAAAAGTCCTAACACCTGATACAAGACTACAAACTAAGGTAAACAACGTTTAAGAGCACAAGAAGTATTTATAAATGCATACATCAAAGCCATTGCTCATGACAGAAGTTATTCTCCTAACATTATTGATAATATTTATAAAAACTTAACTAAACAATCACCTACAGATAAACCTGACAAAGAATTTTCTAACAATTTAGTCATTTTACCCTATTTTCCTAAAATAAGTCGGCAAGTTGCTAATATCCTAAAGAAATTTGATTTCAATATTATTTTCAGTCCCATTAATAAGATAAAATTTTCTAATCTCAAACAGCCCATTGACAGTCAAAGTGGCTGGGGTATATACCAAATTAATTGCCAATGCGCCCTTTCATATGTTGGCCAAACTAAGCGTGCCTTAATGTACCGTGTCAAGGAACCTGAAGCCTATGTCAAAAAAAAAGAATCTAAACGCTCATCTATTGCCCAACATTGTTGGGACTCTAATCATAATTTTGATTTTTCTTCTTCTAAAGTCATTCAAAATTGTTCTTCAATTTTTGATTTAGACTTTTATGAGTCCTATAATATTTTACAAACATTCCAAACTGTTGGTCAATGACCTATCCAGCTTTCCTTATCTTTCTCCTGTTTGGAAATCTATGATTAAACCTAACTAACCCCCTGTTTTGTTCCTTGCTACCCATTCGTCGTCATCCATTCACCCGCCCTTCCTATTGGCCGTTGCTCTAACCCCCTCCCTTGTGAAGTCACTTTTCTCTATATTTACCCTGTTTTCTCTCATTTCTTTCTGTTGGATTTTTCAAAAGTTGGATTCAGATGTTTACATCCGTGAGTG